GCCCAGCAGCCGCGGTCAAAATAATCCCACCGTGAAGGGGTTAAAGGTAAACAGATGTTATGATTCTGCTAAAGTTTTCTCCATAAATGTTATGCTAGAGGTTAATACACCAATTACAAATGATATGTGAAGGATGTGATTGGAAAAGAAGAAATGGTCAGGTTTACCATGCATATTGAACGTTTGATAAACAAGACGACTGGAAAATGAGCCCATTGCAAATAAAAATTGAAATAAATATGTTACATGTATATTGTTCACATGAATTTTAAACATAACTTTCACAATGAGATGAAGGCATGACTAAAATCCCTTGTAAGTTTGACTCCAAGGTCAAGTAGATAGTAGAGTTTAATTACCTAATTCTTTTTTACAATTTTTTATGATAAATATGACAGAATACCTTTGAGTCGTTCTGATAAGTCCACTCGCCCAACAGTCTTTAGTACTGCAGCAAGTGTTGTAACAGCATCGGTCCCTTCACTGAGACGTGAACGCCATGTCATTAGCATGTGGTAAGCTTTATCTTCTGAGCTACAATGGTTCTGATCTATTCCAAGTATAATGGAATACTCCAAGTTCAAGAATGTGCCGATTTTCTTCCATTCCCCTATGATGTATTCACTCAACTCCCGCAAAACTGTGTCTGGTAGGCCATGATCTATCAGAGAGATTTATATGAAAGATATTACTGGTTAGAGGTTTGTGGGCCCCACATCAGTGTAGGGCCATTGGTACAGTTACATTCAAGTTTGCCTAAAACAACATCCCTCAAAATACCTATTTCTTGTGTTATACACGTATATCAACTTGCAGTAAAACACCTCAATATTTAACTCAAAGGTTTTCAGATTTTAAAGGACATTGTTTGAAAAATCCTGAAATCGTCAAAAAAAATCCTGACAAATTTCACCCCTGTTTCAAGTATGCAGGTCTAAAATACTTGCAGCATATTTTCATTATGCTTGATGGAAATTTAGTGGTATTTTGTGTGACATAAGAGATTCTAGTGCCTGAGAGTGCTGGAAAGGTTGGCAGGTTGGGCAGTTTCACTCAGTAATCAATGTGTGCATATATATGGAGCCCCAAAACACATTCCCTGACCTACAGGTTGGTTTTCTCCATGCCTTGGTGTCTCTTTACACAACTTTGACAGCATGTATCCCAGCATACCATAAGGAATGAGGACACATTCTCCTTTGTGGAGTCCATTCTCTACTGACAATTTGTCGCAGAAGGACAAATACAGGCGGAGTGGTTTTGGCAGATCCTCAATTCTGTCTGGCCAGCCAGCAAACGATTATTCCTTTGAGCTCAACAAGTACGGGCTCTCTTCTCTGACTTGACTGAGGTGTTCTTCAGAGAACTGTACAAATTGGATTTGCAGATCCAGATTGATATGTACACATGTATGTCTTGTGTTAGGCAAGACAAACCAACAGCCAACAGCATATCATTTCCTGGGTGATATACAATCTCAAGGTCAGAGGGTTATCATTCTCATGAACATGCGTTGACGCTGGAGTGGCGCTGACCTTAGTGGTTTTTTTGTGTATCACTTCATTACAAGTACATGTAGGAATGGAATCTCTCAGAGCCAAACACGACTACATGGAGTTCACACTCACTTTTGACATATCGTTGCGTGGTTTCACTGAGGGTCTTAGAGACAAACAAGATCCAACCCAAACAGTCCAATCAAGATTCCATCATTGACTTATTTTTCACCAATCATATCTTGTCTGTCTCCAGCGTTCCAAATCCTGTTATATTAACCACTTTGTAGACAAGATATTTCAATCCACACAACATCCCCCATCCAGTGGTACTACGGTAATTCTTACAAACTCACCGTGAAGACTTAAAACATCTGCATCAGTTAATTAACAGTAACATCAAACAGTCAGCCGACAATTTTTTGGACTTGTTTGATGCTGTAATAAAAGACTCGATTTCTGGGGTTACCAAACGCCGATCTTGATTTTCACCCTGGATCACCCCAGATGTAAAGAAACTTATCAAAAAAGAAACATAAACTGTTCAACATAGCTCATAGATCTGGCCTCTTAACTGGTTGGAATTCGTACAAATCCGTCCGCAATGAGGTCAAAACATCTATTCGGAAAGCATATTGGCATTATGTAAATGTGTTATTTGAAATGGATGGTAACAACTGTCGGTTCTGGTCATTTGTTAGAACCTGTGAACAGTCTCCTCCTCCATCATCATTTATTCATCATTTATTCACAACAATCGTAAATTTTGTCACCCTTATACAACCGCTTCTGCTTTCAGTAATTACTTTTCCTCTGTGTGTAAACCTGCTGGTCCGGTTCCCCATAACCCCCGTCCTTGCTCGCTTCCAATTCCTTGTCTATCGCTAATTGATGTTTCCGCAAGTGAAATTGCTACTTTGCTCCGCATGCTTCTGTCCAATAAATCCCCTCGACTCGATGGTATTTTACCTACATGGAGTATCCTTCATGAAATTGGTCCAGAAAATTCTCATCCCCTTAGTCTGTTGTTCGGTGCCTCACTGAATGCAGGGTCATTACCAGACATCTGGCAAAGTGCCAATGTAACACCTGTTTTTTTAAAAAGGGCGATAAATCTTTATTCATCAGCTGTAAGCCTGTCGTTCTCACATCTGTGTTATTGTAAAGTACTAGAACGGATTATATCCACTGCCATTTCAGATCATCTAACCACATTTGGGTCTCCTTAACTGCAATCAACAGGGTTTTGTAAACACAGAAGCTGTGTAACCCAGCTAGCCAACATTATGCATTCCTGGTTGTCCACCTTGGATAGACTCCCACGAATTGATCCCGTCTTCCTTGACATGTCTAAGGTGCTCAACACAATACTGCACCATATCCTGCTGGGCAAACTGGCAACAGTGTTCAATCTGCAGGGTAAGCTGCAGCATTGGGTTCGATCATTTTTGACTGGTTGCAGGCAGCGGGTCCTCCTTCAGGGTGCTGTCTCTCCTTGGGAGGATGTTACTTCTGGTGTTCCACAAGGTAGTGTTCTGGGGCAATGACATATCCAACTTAGTTTACTCTACTTGTGCCTTATTTGCTGATGATATCTTTCACAAGCCTTTCAATGTCCTGACAACCAGCATGTCCTTCAGACTGATTTGAATAGGTTGCTAACTGGTGTGATTTTAATAATATGACTTTCAACACTGGTAAAACTAAGACAATGCATGTAACTACAAGTGGAAGCCATCAACTCAACCTCCCAGTGTACTTTCTTGGAAACAGTACTCTCAACACTACCAATACGATCCAATACTTGGGTCTCAAGATAGATGCTAAGCTCAGCTCGGCAGCACACACTGACTCAATAGTGTCAAGAGCCAATTGCCTCTTAGGATTTATAAGAAGCGTTGCTTGAGGTTCCTCCCCTAAAGCAATTTTAACCCTGTACAAGTCTTTAGTTCTTTCAATCCTTTGTTATGGAGTGGCATTATGCGGCTACCGTATCCCTGTTGGAACACTTGTGCACAATCCATTAATAAACCACACACAGTAAACGCTATTCCTGGACTCACACCGTCTTCCTAACATGGTGTCGGAAATTAGCCGAATCCCGCATCCTTACCAAACAAGCCCGGCCAAACTCCTGGAAATCCCGAAGAACGGATAAATGAGCATCCATCGGCAGTGCAGACTTATCCTGTCACACAAGGTAGACTGTGACAGTGACCAATAAACTGTGCATTTCTTGCGGGCTTACACCATCATTTGCTGTAGTGCTACATGTATTGCCAGATAGACTGTACCGACTACCGAGCACATGTACATTTACACGTGTACGGCGAGCGCACTCTGACCTCGACACCCTGTGAACTACGGAGGCCTGTAACGGACATATTGCAGTGCATTTTACACGCTCTACATATGAATCATGGCGCACTCGCTCATTCCCCCATTGGCCAAAATGGACATGAAAGGAGACCAGGTCTCCAACTGGCAGTTCTTCAAGGCAAGCTGGTAGAAATATTCAGTGGCAACAGAAATCGACAAAAAAGATGCTTCCGTCCAAGTAGCCACCCTGACTGTTATGGGGAAGGAGTGCTATGAAGTCTATCAAAATCAAAAGAGCAGAGAAAGTCACCACAGCAAATCCTGACCAGTCTGGGTGCCCATTTCGACCCAAAATGCAATGTGGTGTATGATCCACAATATGGTAGTTGTCAGAAAGCCAAACAAAATCAGGGTATGCTTGGACCCATATGGCCTGAACTAGGCAATCAAGCGCAACAACTATCCTATTCCCACAGTAGAGGAAGTCGCCCCAAGACTGAAGGATGCAAAAATCTTCTCTGTGGTAGATGCAAAGGATGGTTTCCTCCAAGTCATCCTCGATGAGCCGTCTAGTCATCTGGACACCTTACGGGCACTACCGCTGGTTGAGGATGCCCTTCGGCATCTCATCGGCACCGGAAGAGTTCCAGTGCAGGCTCCAGGAGTGTCTGGAAGGCCTGGAGAACATTGCATTCATCACAGATGACATCCTTATATATGGCTCTTGAGAAACAGAGGCAGAGGCTTCTCATGACGCAGCATTCACCGCCCAACTCCAGAGATGTAGGGAGCGGAATCTGAAGCTCAACTCAGCCAAGCTGCGGTACAAGCTGGTCTGGTCACTTACATGGGACACATGTGCAGTGCGAATGGACTTTCACCTGATCCAGAAAAGGTGAGAACCATACTTGACATGCCTCGCCCCACAGACGTCCAGGGAGTGTGGCGACTCATCTGAATGGTGACATACCTGGCCAAATTCCTGCCCGAACTGAGCACAGTATGCGAGCCACTCAGACGTCTCACTGACAAAGACGTCACATTTGACTGGCTCCCACATCATGACACAGCTCTGGACAAGATCAAGAAGCTCATGACGGAAGCACCAGAACTGAGCTGCTATGATGTCAAGCAAGATGTCAAAATCAAGTGTAATAGCTCCGAGGTTGGGCTGCCACACATTCAGGATGCTGCCATTACATGTCCATTACTGCCATTTCTCTGAAATCTTAACCCATGGACAAATGTTTAAATTCTATCTAATTTCTACCACTTAAATTGGAGTATGCAGGTGTGTGTAATGTTTCTGTTTGTTTGTCCTCGCTTCCTGTTCCCATGTTGGTTTGTTTGGTTGCTTGAGTTGTTCTCTCCTATACTATGTGCGGGATGACTTCCTTCCGAACAGTAATTAAATTTACTTTTGACTTACCTGACCTGCATAATATAGGCCTTCTAGTTTTGTCCTGTCTTTGCTTCTGAAAGGGAGGGGTGCAAGTGATCATTTTCAGGTTCTCATACCTGTGTGCTCTTCTCATATATCAAGCTTTGTCTCATTCTGATCACATCCCGGCTGTTTTGTGCTTATCTAGTTGCCCTCAACTAATCTTTTTTACGCATATTGCCTGTTTAACTTGGATGTGTGCCTTTATATGTATGATATGTTACAATAGACCATGGGCCAAGTGCCCAAAAGGGCTTCTCTCGTGGCACACCTCATACGCCTTCTTTCTGTTTGCATTTCCTAACAGAAATAAATACAACACGTGACTTACAGGTTGTTCATATTGTCAACTATTGCACTTTAATGAGAAAAAATGTAAACGCAGTCCATTTCACGGTAAATTTCGTACGGAAAGGGCCTAAAAATCTGTGTAGTCTGGCGCAATACCAGAGCATACACTAACGTCTGGTAACCAGTTACAGTTCTCGCGTGACCGACTACCTTGTTTACGTGAATTCAGCTGTGCACTGTAGACTATCACTTGCGGAAAAACACACACGGTTTGTATCGACTACTAGGCGCAGGCAGCTATCTTGTAAGTTGTAGCCGTGGTCCCAAGGACCGGAATGCCACTGATGGAGTAGAAGCTAGGCTTAAAACTACATCCTTAGTCATGGAATCGATGATAAATCTCTATAACCTGCATTTTTTTTAGTGGTTTTTAGTGCAGCATCGAGGATATGCATAACGGACTCGATCGTCAACCCATACATGCCATATGCCTGCCATGCCATGCCTGCATGATGATCTGCCGCGGATGCCGGTACCCACTATACTTGCCATGTGCAGCTGCACCTCTATCGGCATTTATTCAGTTGTTAAAAAAAATCCCACGGTACAAGCTTTGTTACTCAACATCCTGTGACATATTGAATACAGTGTTTGTAAGGTATTTGCGCGAATGTCCGTGTCTCTTTAAAAAAATTCTGTTATGCTGCAATTATGTGCAGCTTTGCTGGGTTAGGCCCTAAATAAGTTTGTTGAATGAAGGTGTGCCTTGGCCCTCTCATGGTTATCCCTTGGGAGAAGTTTTTTCAAAGTATGCTGCTCTGCCTGCAGTCTATTAAAGACAGCACAAATAGGTTCTCTGATTCTGAAGTGTCATTAACAGACTATTCTCATTCAATCCAACTTATTCAAATTTTCTCCCTACTTTTTTCACCATGCAGAAACATGCCACAGTTGCATGTAACAAACCCAAGGAACTGTGACACGGACTTGTACCCATCATATCAGACGGCTGAACTTTAATTTCTTAAGTTTAAAAGAAAGAAAACTTGTCACAGCAACTTCAATTGCCACGTGTGCCTCACACTAAACATTATGACGTGTACATTATGTACACATCACCATGATGTTTCAAAGTTGCACTGCAAGTGTCTTTTATTTGCTTGGGTTCATCATTCATTGTCATGAATGTAGTTTCAGCTCTTTTTCGATCACTGTAAACCTGGCTCATGAATGAAATAAAGCTATTCTTACATGGTTCAAATGACTTAAAGTCCCAATGCATTATGATGAAAACTACCAATTTGTCATTTTGAACAAATACAGGTACAGTAAAACCATGTTAAAGTACACTGATTTTATTCCATCATTTCTCAAGCAGACGCTTGAATGGAAAGCAGTTGGTTGACATTTATGGTTCTCAGAATGTGTTTACAGGTACTTTAAAGCAGTTACAAAATGTAAAGTAACATTGTATTTGTAATTTGTTAAACAACTAAATATTACTTGAGTGACAGCTACTTTCATCCACGGGTCTGGGTCTGTTTATAACATTTGGACAAGTCATTGGATTAAATCCAGCTAAAAGATACGCTCTTATGGCTTCAACACATGTCATCCATTTATGTATTGATTTCTATACAACCTTATCAATTGAAATTATTAGAAAATTATCTGGATGGGTGGCACATGTCACATACTGCATACATCAATTACTGTTTCCTACGTAGTTGGCACTGTAAAACTATCAGAAATTCATTCATAGGAACTTCATAGACAGAAACACATATGTACATGCAACAAAGTGTATTTTCTTGAAGCTAACCCATGGGCATGGATATGATAGTGATCAAACATGTGCTCTCTCCAAAAAAAATTTATCCTTCCACTAACCTCACGTTTGAAGGAACACTACCAGCACAGTACAGTACAGCAGAGTACAGTTGGTTCATTTGTTTCCAAAAATACACATTCTGTGCTATGCTGGCTGCAAAGTATTTTTGCTGAAGAAAAATGTTACAGTTTGTGAAAGGTTTTGATTAACAATGGATAAAGGTTATTAAGTAGTATTTCTACCCATTGTTGTGTATTGTTTTAAATGAAGAATGTATTAAAATACATCACGCCAAATACTGCAAATTAAAACTTTACATTTCTTTCATAATGAATTTTGCGGTTGGATGGTAGAAACGCTCCATGAATTGAGGCTTACTTTTGTGGTTACAAACAACATGTATGTACACATTTACAGGTAAAAGTGTCTCGTCTTGCAACAGTATGGGTCAAACCTAAATTTTCTATTTTACAAGATGATGCAATGACCGCAGGACATGACCAAGAAACACTGACCAAGCACTTATCTCTGAAGGAAATATAGTTTGTCCCTGAACTTGGTTTACAAACAACCTTGTTATTTTTTCCCCAATAACATCCACATTTCGAAACAGACGCTTTCTAGACTTCTGATAAACTTGCAATTTCTATCACGTCTAAGCTAAATATTCCTAAGTGGTCATAAAAGCAGGCAAAAAGTTTCACTATTTTGAAACCAAGAACATGTTTCTTGAAAACTTTGATTATACCATTAAGTCAAAACATTCTACTCTGTACATTCGTTTTAGCGTGTGGGTCATTAAAATACATGTACATGTCAGAAAAAGACCTGTTACTTTCGGCACAGGTGAAATTAGAATGCAACTATGAATGCAGCATCCACCACAAGTTGCTTGCACAACTAAAGAACAGATTAACAAAAGTGGTTAAATGAAACAACTTCTCCAAAAATTAAAAAAGGTCTACTATGACATAAGCATGCAAAGGTAAAGAAAAGAAATTTATAAAGTTTCATTGAAGTGAGTTGAGTTGCACCGGTAGTATTCGAAACTCAGAACGTTAACTTTATTCACTATTGGTGAAATCACTCAAATTGTCATCTGAATCAGTGTCAGAGCCACCATCACAACCATCTTCATCATCTTGGGAGGGATCTTGCTTGCGATTTACACAGTTAGTGCATCTGCACACATCAGTGCAAAGAATGCCACTTTTCCTACAAGAACACCTAACCCCATCACATCCTGACTTTTTGCAGCTACAGTGCATTAACTCGAGGACAGAATCTGGTGCCGCCGGGAGCTCCATCCAGTCAATGACCAACCGGCCCTCCTCAATCTTCCACCCATGTCCATTAGGGGATGGAATATTAGGCATCTGTTCCAAGCTACGCTTATGGATGAGAGACTGATAGTTAGCGCGCTCAATGTGTTTGACCAGAGTCTCTGTTCGGGGGCATGGCAGACTCAGCGTTTCTGCTGCATAAACACAAGGAGTTGTAGCAAGCAGTGTTGACCTTCTTACATGTTGGCACACCATAAAAACAACAAACAAACTCCTCCAGGGAGTCAACCGAGGAAGGAGTCACTTCTGCTCTTTTGCCCAAGTCCATGAATGGATCACATCTTTGATCACTTTGCATGATCAATTTCAGGGCCTTAACCTTTCCTTTTCCATGGAATGAACTAACTGAATCACATCCAGTAAAACAGTGCAAACCTATTAACCAATCACAAACCCTTTGCCCAATGCACCGGCGCACCTTCATTAAGTCAATAGTGCGCTTCTGCGTTTGGCCTGTATGGAAGAAGAGATTGGCATCAATGCTGTGGCCATGGGCAATCCCCAAAATAAATACATCGGTATCAGGGCTGGCTATGGCGACATTTTCTGTACTGTTAGCAGCATGCTTGCTGTGCAGCAACAACCGTGTGTCAGCTTCTTCATGGTTACATTTCAATGAAGTGATTTCAACAGCATCTACTTTATCTCCTGTCATATTTGTGTGCATTTCATGACAAGTCTCACCATGTGTTATGTACACGTGCACATGACGGAACAGCTCTGGGGACTTACACCATGTCACAAAGAGGAACTCGATGAGCCTTTCCTTGTTTTCTCCATGAGCCAGAAATTTTTTCCACTGAGCAGGGATTTTTGATGCCGACCATAAATGGTCATTGACAGTTTCCCACTTGACGTGCCCATAACCCTCTCTCAGCATTTTTTATACTGTCATCAGGATACTGGTCTGTTACAAAGTGAATGCAGGATGAGCCACTATCCACTGCCAACTTGACAAGCTTCTGTAGTATTTGATAAGCTAACAATCCAAAATTAGCCGGCAGACTTCTGACTCTCAGCTGCTGTATCATAGCCATGCCATCTATTATCCATGTAGTTCCCTGAGGTATGGATGTGATGTAAGGTTCTGCTGCCAATGATTCAATGTAATGCATCAGTTTGGCTTTTGGATGCTTCGGAAGAGAGCCATCATGGGAGGCCAATGGAAATGGGTGGGAACCAAGAGAGTAAGTCATCAGATCTTCCAGGTCCAGTTTCCAAACTTGACCAAAGACCAGGAGTCTAGTGAAAAGGTGCCTATCACTCTTCAGTTCAATTTCCTTCCCTTTCACCTTGCTTGTTTTGTTTATGAACTATAGCAGCAAATGTCTTCAACTTCAACGGCTTGATGGCACTGAAGATGTCTACTGCACCTTTCTGCAATCTTACACTGAGGAATGTGTTATCTGCCATTTCACCTTTAGTATTCTGAGAGCAAATCAGATTTAATTTCTGCTGCAGCTGCCACTCCTGATGTTATGTGGAGCAACGCTTCACTCTCAGAAGTGAATGGGTTAATCATTGATTGTACTGTGGCAATCACTGCACTGACGTCTTTCTCGTCTCTGATTTTCTTTGTTTTGTCTAGTTCCTTCCTTTGCCTTGATATGTCACCTTTCCCCGGCATATCTTCACACTGCCTTGCAATTCTTGCTCTATGGTGTGAAGACAGAATCCATCAATGTACAGCTCTTTTGTGGAGTGTGATCCCAATGAGTCCTCCTTTTGTCTTTGAGTCCCGATTGGCAGTTTGCTCTATGGTTTGATCACAAGGCAATGAACAAAACCATGCTCTTGCTGTCACTGAACAGAAAATTCTCCTCCTATGAAATGCTCGAACACTGACTTGTGTTTGGTTGAGAGTTTGCTCATCTCCATCCAGCAGATTGGCAAATATCTGGAATAGTTTATCCTGTCGAAAGCCATCATCCACAGTATCATCGATCAGACTGCGGATAAATGCAACTGCCAATTACCCTCCTGGGTACCTCAGATGAAAAGCAGCAAGATTTGTGCCATATAAATGTAAGTACACCACATGGTGAATGTTGGCTTCGACTGGTTCTCTGACGCCCATCTGTCATACCCTGCAAGGATGTTGTCAAACTCATCTGAACATACTTGCTCCATGAACGCACCTGATGGATGTGTATTTGCAAGGGACTGGATGGTCTTCAGAGTCTGGTTGACTTCTTTCTCTGGTAGCGTCTCTTCATAGGCCTGCCAGTACAATCTGTGCAACGCCTCAAAGATGATCTTGTGCATTCACACACTAGACTGCAGTGGTGACCGCTCATACTTGAGTTGACAGACCCCAGACCTATCAGCTCTGACTCCACAGCTACATCTTCTAGACCAGCATCCCTGAAACATTTCCCAAGAAGGCCATAGCTGTATGGAATTCTCCAAGACAGATAACCAGCCTCCGCATAAAGATAGAATTGGTCCAACAAAACTGTTGGGCTTTGGCATATATGGCCTGGTCAAAGACAATGAGCATCACATCCAAACCAAGGCAATCAGCTATCTGTACACGATGAAACAAGACTGTTTCACAATGCTCCACAATGCTGTGGAGTATTCTGCTGGGCTGGCATCGATGACTAGCTGATAGCCTATGTTTGACTGAGGAGGGATGTCAGTGCTGTGGAGTAGGGAGTTGAAACCTGTCCAGGTTAGCAGTAGAGGGCCTCCAACTTCTGGGATCTTGGACAGGATGTAAGCCATGTCAATTTTCCTTGTATTCTCTCTACTTCCAAATGCTTTGATTCTTGTGTTGGAATTTCTTCTCCAAAAGGCTGAGGTCCTTTCTTTTTCTTGCCATGACATTCAGTGATATCAACCAGGGGAGCCAGGAGTGACCTCTGTCTTGTCTTCTTGCTTGAGGAAGTTGAGCTCTCTGCTGAAATGGCGGCAGTTCCGACCTCATTTCACTGGATGACGATACCATTTGTTATGTGTTATTGATTTCCCGGTCAATGTTTCCTCCCCAAAATCGTTATTATCCCAAACCAATGTCGTAAAGGTGTCAGGAAGCACATTAGGTGGAAGTTGATGTGGCCCTCAGTCAATTTGCTGCCGGGCAAGTGCTGAGTCATGTTGCAGTACCATGGAATGAGGCGTGCAGTGCCCAAGTCCATTCAAAATCTCAATAAGCTGTGCTGAGCCACTGAGGTGGTGGATCGTCATAGCAAGAGCAGTCTGCTTTGGCATCTGCTTTCGGCCTTTTGAAGACAGATACATCACATCTTGTGCTATGCTCAGCATTTTCCTGTGAACATCTGCTGGTTGTTGTACCTGTTCACCTGTGGGCTCCTCAGCTGCTCCAGTTACCCAGGCCAGGAAATTATGTAATTCAACTGAAACAATCTTTCAAGCTACATCCAAGTTGAGATCCTCTGCAGAGGGAGGCCATGAAGCCAGTGACGAACTTGACTGAAAGCTATTACAGAGACTCATCGCCGCATGAAAAAGAACTTTTGTGAGGAACAACTTCATCATGAGGTGGTAAAGGGACATGTGGTCTTCTCCTTTCTTCCTCTGATTCTGAAGCTTCACTTGAGCTGCTGGCACTTTCCGGTTCCAAAGGCTTCTTCTCCTCCACAATATCCTCAACAGCAAGTTCTTGGGTGAAGACAATATCGCAGTAAGAACAACTCCTGCTTGACTTGAAGAACTGCAGTTGAGGATACGCATTTTGTAACCGCCGCTTCAAGTTGGAGGATCGATATTTTGGACAAGAAATGTCTTCCACTCTTTGCACTGTTTTAATATACAGTTGCGTCAACTTCGTCAACCGAAATATATCCTTCTTCTCCAGGATACGAGCCTCAATAATATTTCTACAAAAATCACTGAAAGACAGCTTATAGGATTTCTTGTCTACAGACACTTTTGACGACTTCTTGCTTACCCGAAGGAATTGTGTGTACCTATTATAACACTGCTTATAATAACAGGCCTCTAAAGCTACTAAATCAGCTCCATGGATGTTGACAAGCAAGGCTTCATCCTTCATGATACGCCACCTCCAGGAGCAAACCACCTGTCTTGGTCTCACACTGCACTAGCCGCTGCAGTCTTCTCTTCCTGGACAGTGGGTTTGTCTTCCACTGATCAGAACGACGGATGATACATCTGCAGGGAAGCATGTGTCTCCTGTCAGTGGCAGACACTCCTGCACCTTCGGAATGTAGGAAACGTTTTTCAGCTGTTGGTACATGTAGGTTGTCATCCTTCGTTTGGCCCTGCAGAACTGGTACAAAGAAGATGGGTACTTGATAAAATATTATTTTTTAGCAGCTTGCACAATACATATTGTTTCAAAAATGAGGTTCCATCACTCTCCACAAAACTGATGTCAGGATTCCTGGAGCTGCATACATACATTAAATGCAAGTGCTATTATTTACAAGAACATGACTACATTCATGTGAAAATGATTTCCAACAATATGAGCTTTAGATATGAACTGAATGCAGTTGCAAACACGGGAATCGATTTCTACCCGTACATGTACACTTAGAACATAGTGTCAACCTTTTAAAAATACTGGCAACTGTGACTTCAGGCACTGGGTCACAGATTATTTGGTTTTTATTTGGGAGAGCAAAGGACATTTTTGTATGGTTTCATTTAATTCTCCTGATCCATGGCAAACAAAATAGTAATGTACAGTACTTTCTTTCACTAATTTCCAGAAATTGACAACATGTTTTTAGAAAGGTCTTGTAATAAAATACAATTGATTTTTTTCCAAATGTGATTGTTCTCTCCTTTGTAACACATTGAAAAATTTTATGAATTAATTCTTCTAAGCGCTTGAAATTTACACACACACACTTGGCCCACAAGAAAAGCCTGCAAAAGAACGGTCACAGCCTAGACATTTCTCATTTTTTCTTCCTGATATATACTACACTCAAACTGATGTACCAAGCACATACATGTGCTGTACATATTAAACATTTACCTGAACATGTACAAGTGGGTTATGTGCACACCTCTAAGTTGTTTCTTCTCAGCAAACTTGATTCTTTGAACATCTGTGAACCGCTGATAGCACTCATGGTGAAAACTGGCACCTGTCATAAAGACAATCTAACAATCAGGATGTGTAAAGGCACAGTGTTTGTCACTGCTTGTGTAAACCTCCACGTACATGTACTGTACAATGTGTGTAATGACACTTTGTTTCGTAAGCAATTGCGATTAAGTTGTTGCTGATGAGACATTCTTAACGGTGGACTTGTCATCAGTCAAGTTGGCTAACAATGACTGTAGGCCTAGTTGGCATGAAACAAGCAATAGACAGACAGTGAACATGGTGAAAATAAGAAAAACAAAAATAAAGCAGTCAATACATGTAACCATACATAAAATGTTGCCAACCAAAAGTACAATCCATCTGCAAAGTGCAACTGCCAGACTGCAACTTCAAGTGAGCTGAACATGCTGAATGACCCTCGGCCTACATGGCCTACGGGCCTTGGCCTACATGTACATGATGAAAGTCGTGATTGCATAAATTTAATGTAAAGTTCTCAATATGCAAAAGGAAAACAACCAACACCTAAGAACATTAAAAACTGAAAGAAGCATATTAGGCAAATCAGTCGTCCTGACCGTGTGTCTACGTAGCGTCGAAGTTGGCCTACCTGTGGTTACTGATGGAAACGTCGTCGCTCGCCACATCAAGACTTGCTTGAAAGTCTTGCACTATTTCAGTGAAATGGCCCTCACAACTCTGCCATCTTTCCATGCAGTGTTAGACTTTATCCCATGACACTTCTGAAAAAGGTGTTACCTTGCCAGTAGGGGTGTGCATTTGCGGGTATTTTTAGAACCGGATACCCATTTTTTGTTAACATCGGGTACCCGGAAAAGAGATCGCCTGATAACAAATGGCATTGCGCGCAACCCGGTGGATTATGTGCCCGAAACACGGTTCTTTTTGGTACATAAGAAGCAAGCAGAACATTGTTCTAAACGTCGGAGTTAATCTCTCCTACCTTTTTATCAAACGAAATTGTTACCTTTAGGTGGCAATTTTTTTTGTGGGTGTATGAAACAGAAATACAAATCTTCACGGGGAACATCAGAAAAGAGAACAGAGCTGCAAACCACGTACATGATATAAGCACCTGCAAACGCTCAAAGGAAATGTCCCGGATGCTTCATGACCACGTACACGCGGAACGCATGTGGTGTGCACAAATGATGAGCGCTGGTCGTGTCACGGGACCAGATCAGTGCTATGTACGTCACGGGTTAAAAGGCTTAAAGTTTTATGTACAAAAATACCACTGTAACTCGAACAATGCCCACACCATTATATCCACTTATTTTGAAGTTTCTGATTAAAAAACCGCCACCAAAACGCTTCAAACGGCGTTGAAAGTATCGGAAGTCTATGTATGGGGTTAGGAGTCATTGCAAGTTCATTTCTTTTCAGACGAGGACGGCACGTTGAATAAATCAACGTAGCTGTAACTGTGTAATCCTGGCTTTCAAGACGCTGAAACTACATGTAACCTGATTGCAACGCGGGCCCAATTGTAGTCCCCTTCAGGCAGTCCAATCGCTGACACTGCAGCGGCCACGTGACCGTAAAAAGAACGGTCATGTGACCAAACATAGGGAAGCCCAAGTGAAAAAATAGCAGCGCTTCACGTTGTCAAATGACTAAGCGATACGAAAGTTTTGCCACACGGAGGTATGGACCACGATGAAGTGGTTCAGTTTAATAAATACTTCCCCCTCATAAGACAAAACCCCTTCGGTCTCTTGTTCATATAGGTTTGGTACAATTATTTCCCTAGTTCCGGATTGCGAAAATTATTTAGTAAGACTGCAGCTAATTCGAGTGAAATATGGTCAGAAGTCAACTTTGTGTTTTGGATATACTTCAATTTTTTTTCAAAATCTAAGCTTTTATATTTGGACTCACACATCGATCGACGAAAGTGACGATGACACCTTTCCTAGTTCTGGATCGGTTTAGGGTCGAGACAAAAACGTCTTCACAAATAAAAAGTAACCCTACGAAAAATCCATTTTCAGCCAAAACCATTGAAAAAATTGCTTTTCTAATAAAGAATCTTTTAATTTTGAGAAAATTAGATGAAAAATAAGAATTACAATGAATTAAAAAGGTGGAAATTACGTAAGGTTTTACTCAACTTTTCAACTGTACAGTGAGCTATCAACGCTACCCTCCCCGCGCCGCACAGTTGACGAACCCATTACGTCACATACATTTCTACTGCGCCCGTGTAGTTGAGTTCACAACGACTTTGCATGGTAACGCCGCGCGATCCGAGAGTGGGGGAAAAGCTTGCAGTTTTCGCTAAATTAACAAAAACGGAAACTCTAAATAAGTCATTTTGATTAAGCAGACATTAGATGCAAAGGTTTATATGACTATTCAATTTAAAGAAATATTTAAAATCACACGTGGCGAGTGGCCTATCGCCCGTGAATTTTAGTGGTTTTTTCGCTCTTGTGAACTAGGAAATTCCGGGACTAGGAAAACGACTTGCGGTACAATGGGCGGAGTGGATAACAAAATTAGCTGCCGATCTCCGAATTCAAGTATCATGTATGACCGCGGGACCGGGTTTTCATCGGCATGGTGGTTTTCCAGGAA